CCGTTTCTTTCACTAAGGATATCCTTAAGAGAACATGCTGGACTTAAAATGCAATCCTTGCTGTGAAGAATAGAAATGCAACTTGAATTTGTATCTTATTTTTCTCCACCGCTTTTTTTTAATTTTATATTTTGAGTATTGTACAAAATTAGGTATAGTACTTCATAGTGCTAAGCATCTGAACAAGAAGTCTGGTGAATTATGACTAAACTCTACTCACCTTTGTCTTTTGTTTTTTCCTTTTAAAAAATAAAATTTTGTTGAGGCAGCAATAAAATGCAAAGTCTATGACCTTGCATAAAGACCTATAGATCTCTAATAGCTGTTCAAGTTTCCATAGGATTAAAAATGTTGTCTTATGAACTCTGTGTTTGAATGAATAAGAAAAAGTTCATAAAAATAAAAAGCTAGTTCAAGAAGATCATATTATTTCAACTAAACCCTCTTTACAGATTTCCTTCTAGGAAGTTAATGAAGTCTGAATATTAACTAATGTACAGCACATACCTATGAAGTTCTACCTTTGGGGCAGCCAAGCGAGAGAGGCATTGCACATTGGAATGCAATCAGTAACCGTCATGCCACATTCTGAATTTCATAGGATAACACAGGGCAACAGGTAGCTGGGCTGAAATATTTGTCCAAAGCCAACCAAACTGTAAGGATCACAGACTTTTAACCAAGATTAAAAAGAAGCGTGTATACTTATATTCAAGAAGTCCATTTTCCAAAGGCACTGAGTTACCAAAGGCAGCTGTTAGGAAACAGCCTGTTCTACACAAGAAGGAAGTTAGACACTTTCAGGAGACTTAGGTCTCTCTTCTTGGCACCATTTCTGCTCCACTGTTGCAACTGGTAAGCCATTTCACTGCTCTTTGCCTTGGCTTCCCTCACCCCTTTCTTTCTATTTTAACTGTTTTCAATGTAAGCTTTTCCAGCAGAGATATTGTGTCAAGTTCATTCCTGATCTCAGTTTGAACCACTAGGTGCTGCTGCAACACAGATAAATATTTACACTATAAACTGTCCTATAAATTTATCTAGGATCCATGCTGTAGGTGACAAGTCTGCCCTTGAAACACTACACGAAGACTTTCTTACTAGTGCCATCTTTTTGCAGTCCTGCAACAAAAAATAAGTAGTTTCCAGCCTGGGGAGTAACCTTCCATTTTCCTTGGACTACAAGCTTTACTCACTGATCTGCGATTCAAAAGCCACTTATGAAAAGCCAGCGTAGGTCAGTACCTGCCACTGTACCCTCCTCAGCTAAGTAGATGATGACCAGAAACATGCCAAAGCCCACGGCCATATTTGAAGTTTGCATCATAGCACAGTAACATGTTGCATACTTCCTGGTCAGGTCATTAGTAACCTGTCAGCTGGGACCCTCTCTTTGGATCTCAAATCTCTGAGAAATCTCAGTTATCTCAAATCTTTCCTTACAGAACATTTATGAGAATTACCAGCTTATCAGAACTCCTAGGATGAGGAGTTCTATTTGGATTCCCTAAGGCCACATCAGCTATATCAGCTTGGCAGCTAGTTTAAAATTCCCTTTACAAATGTAGACTGTCTTTGGGCTGTCACTACTAGGCTGGCCTCTCCAAGATGTGATTTGATAGTACCTTTGATGACACCAGGTATCCAAACATATGTAAATAAGATTTGAGAACAAAAAATATAGTTGTAACCGTAGTCAGCATACACAGACAATCCAAACCATGAGTTCTCAGTATCTGTGTTTTTTTTTTTTTTTTGCCAAAGGAGTTATACTCTAAATTGAATTTGAAATTACTATTTTTTTTTCCCCTGGAGACAAATTGCTAGTTTTAAGTTGACTCTTTCAGTTTCATGATATTTATTTCTGACACTTTCCAAAGGGATGTTCTTGTACAGTCAAAAACTCTAAGTAAGGGAACACACAGATTTCCATTATATAGGGGGTCACATTATTTCCTACTCTTAGAAAGACAAAAACGGAAACAATACTAAGAACTGCAAGAGCAGCCACCTTCAACGTCACAAATATTTCTGATGTTTTAAGCAGTTATGTGGGAGCACATAAAACTGTAAACAGAAAGATCACTATACTCTAGCCATCAGACACCAGTGTCAAAATCATTTTTCTAATCTAATTTTGATCAAATTCCTGGAGGTCCAGGAATAGACAGTTTTCTGACTTAAATGTAGGTAAAAATACTTCCAGTTTCTCCCAACAGCATGGACAAAATGAATTTCTCTTTTAAAAGGGATTAAACCTTTCACAGTTGCTACCAAGAAACTCAAAATCAGTCTTGAAGGCAAAGGAAAGCACTAGTGGACTTTGCCTTAAAACCTCAGCTTACATTCCAGTGAAAAAACGCTCTATATGCCCATATCGTCAAAGACCCTGCCCAGTTTCCTTCCAAGAAAAGGGAGTTAGGAAAACAATTAGAAACAGGCAGCTGAGTATTCTCAGACACTTCAAAAACATTTTGGGTTTTGGCGTTAGCTGAAAAATAGCTCTGATCTTTGCTGCTTCTGAAAGCAATCGTTCTGCAGAAAACACCTTGGAGTTACCGTCATGTCTGATTCTGTATCAGTTTGCATCATCTACCACTTTGACCATTTAATGATCCAATCCAAAGAATCTCACCCAGTAACTATAGCCATCTTTCAGCACGGATCAACTGACCAGGCTGCACAATCTCTCCCACAGCTTTCTTCCCAGCAGATGGGGAATAGTTGTTTCAACAACGATGAGTGTAGCCTGAGCAAATGAAAAATTTCCTCCTGTCTCCTCAGCCTAGCTCCTACAGCTGCTAAAGAAGAAACACCCTTTCAATGGAGATGCCTACCCTTTCCTTAAAAGGGACTCTGTCCTGTCCTGACAAAAGTTACTTCAACACCAATTACACTAAGTCAGTCTTCTGCATCTCATTGCTGATACAAATTTGTTTGGCATTTGCTTGGGTAGATTCCTGATCCACAGCATATCTATATAAAAGGAACCCTGGAAAGGAATTCAAAAATACTAACCCAGTAGGATTCCACTACTGTGCTCAGCATAACTGTCAATGGTTTACTTTTGGTTTTGGAGTTGGGCTTTTTCCCTTCTGAGACACTGGGGCAATATAAATGCCGGTGACCTGAAGCAGAAGCAGAGACTATTTTGCAAGGCTTAAAAAATAAAAATAAAAAATAAAAATAAAAAATAAAAAAGCACAGAAGAAAAAAAGATTGAGCTTATATTATCAATCACAGAAACACAGGGACAGAAGGAACTTCCTGTCATTAAGCCTCGTCTCCTATTATCATAAGTTCTCATGTCATACATACTACCCGTTAACTAGTCAAATTCCAACTTAATTACATTTCTTTCCTTACTGCTCTATTTCATATTGGAAATATGTTCCAGAAACCTAGATTTTCTAAAATGCAATACTCGTGAAAATTTTCACTGACACCCTGTAAAATTACGTGAACACTTCCCTATTTCTGTTGTTTACAACAACCTAATTTTGTAAGTTTATTTTTCATAGCCTCATCATATTGGTAGTTTATAGTTGCCTCACAATCAGCACATACTACTCATATTCACTCTGGCATTTTCAGCTGATAAAATTCTTGCAGCATTTTGCTAGATATCAAGTCCATAAGCTTACACTGTGCACTGTAATATCTTAACCTATTTCTGCTATGTCACTCCAAGAGCATTCACTTTCTTTAGCATAATACACTGACCTCTGTATCAGCGATGTTTTGCAGCTATTACTGCCCAGATGACAATACTATTATTATGCAAAACTAGACAGATATTCTTCCAATATTTCAATATCTGTTCTCTTCTATGTTTAAATGGTTTTCTCGAGTACGACTAAGATCTTACAAATGAGTTCAGTTATAATACAAACTTTTAGTTTTGTATTTAACCATTTTGTATTTAACCGAGATACTGTAACTAAGGAGTTCCATAGGATAAGTGGGAGCAGTCTAAACCTGACAAATTTAACTAAGTTCCCCCATACTACCAACACTAGTTGTTTGACTGAAGATCCGCCAAGTTAAATTTCAATTTACTTTGCAAGGAAAAAAAAAAGAAAAAGGAAAAGGAAAAAAGTCTACTTACCAAAACAGAAGTTAGCCTTAGCATAACCTACTTTGCTGAAATCAATGCTGAATTTCATGCTTTTTTTTGCTTTCATATTTTGAATTACTCTTTCATTAATATTTGAAGACTACTGCCCTTTAGTCAGACTAAAATGCCTGGTAATTCCACCCTTTCCTAAAGATAGGTATCAAACTTTCTATTTTTCGGTTATATGGCACAGCCTGACCAATTCATTTAACATCCCTGCTACTTAGCTTGCAAGACCAGACTATTTAGTGAAAAAATAAAATAAAATCTTTCTTTGCTCCAATCCAAAAGAAACTCCTGGGGTAAACGTCATACGCTTAAACTACAGACTGAGATCAACATTTAGATCTTAAGCATCTCTTTTATTATCTTATTTTTTGCCTAAAATCCTAACCGTCTAAATGTGAAACAAGTGCACTTAATAGTGCAGAAGAGCTCTCACGGTTCAGAAAAGAATTTGTTTCCCTGGAGAACTGGTTCCTATCCTTGTCACCAATGTGCTACGAATTGCTGGGCCAAGTCTCTCACACGTGGTGTCTGACATCAGCATCTCTGTAAATCAGTCCCAAATGGCTGAGCACTCCAAACTGCTATAGTTATCAGTGAAAGCTTCACATTGAACAAATGAAATCCGCCATTAATATGAAGTAGTTGCAAAACTAGCTCTCAAACTAGACAGCAATAGAACATGACACTTCTGACCAGGCAGGCTTTAAATCTCCGTGCCTCAGTTTGCCATTTGTGCATAGGAGTAACACTTCCTTACATCATACAAAAGAAATGAATTCTATTTTTCAGACAAACTGAGATGCTGAGATGATGAATTGCAGAAAACCTGGCAAGAAAGCTAGTAGCTTTTCATCCGTTCCATTTCTGGGATGGTAAAGGAAGCCTACTGCTCACAAAACTTGATGAACTAAAAGAAATGCATAGCTGTGTATTCAGTTCATTGATGAAGGAAGTTCCCTGTAGAATAAAAAGAAATTCTGATTATTAAAGACTAGCATGATGTTCGGGCTCCAGGAGACAGGCATTGTGAATTTACGCACTTACTAACGTTCATTTGCTGAAGTTTGTAACCTCAGCATTTTAACACAGTTTTTAAATGCATAAAGACTGAATAAGGTCCCTAGATTCAGTAATATGTGGTAGAAGTGCATGTATATTAAATTTATTAATTTTTATAGCATAATTTTTATTTTTTCCTATAATTAAGGAAATATACTCTGCATTCTCTTCCTTGGAAGGAATCCAAAGAAGCCTTACTCTTCTAGACTAACATTCTTCCAGGTACAGATATTTTGGGCACCTACCATAATTCTGTTTTTATTGGCACTCTTTATAAAATGTTCTATAAAAACAGTCACTTTCATTTTGTCCTGAAGAAAATGTGAATATTATTTTTCACACTATCTATACTAGATTCGGCTTTAGAAATCAACTAATGTGACTTTTGCCTTAGTACAAAAATTCCCCTTCACAAATTTACAGAAGACAGCTGAGTGAACAGAGGTACTAGTTTAAGAAAAGAATAGCAAAGAAAAAAATGCAAAGTGGTTCACCTAAACACCTCCTGTCTATCACCATACTATTATTTTCACTATACGTCTACACACCTGTTATAAGAATTATTAAAATAATCATTTCCTGGAGTACAAATTTACTAAATTCCTATAGATATCTTGAAAGAGACATTCATATCAGAAGAAAAACAATTAAAAGCTTTTGTAACAAATTCCTTCAGGGCATAAACATTTTCCCCGTTACCTTCCTGAATGCCTCAACTTTTAACAGTAATCATTAGAAGATTTTGTTCCACAGAGATCTCTCCTTCTCAGCTCCTGCACTGTAACTAGCAACTTTTTGCAGTTTTATTCTTATCTCATGTGTACCCTGGGGAAGTGTACAGCAAGGGCAAACACATCAAGAGCAGTTCAGTATTCAGTTCAGTACTTCTGTTTTAAGAACTGCCACATCAAGATATCTCACAAACAAAGCATTCAATCCTTTATGAACACATCCTTAATACAAATAGAAGTAAACAATTTATTTGCAATATTCCAAATAAAAACACCACCATTCCAAGGGTTACAAAGACAGATTAACAGAAATTTGAATAAGATACTTACATCTGTGATATAAGGACTGATCTTAGGATCGTATCTTAAGATAACTCTCATTCTCTACATCAGTCAGATATCAAGATGCTCACTGACCTCAGAACCAAGGGCCCATTCTTACACAAGACTTAGCCTTTAGGTTAGGTTAGAAGAGGGTTTTGGAAATGGTGATATATGCACGCACACACACATACACGTGTTTATCTTTAGTTTTTCATTCAGATTCAAATCTTCATTCTCTCCTTTCCCTCAAGATTACTGACCATTAGGGTTTTTTTTAGAAAACAGTTTCAAAACTCCTCTTCTGGATTCCTAAGTCACTCTGCCTTTCTAGAAATATTAATTGCCTTTTCAAAGCCTAGCTATCAGCAAATAGTGGGCTAACAGCAAAGGAAAACAGTTTTCTTGCTTAATGTGGCAATACTCAAATTTCAGTGCAAAGTTTTTCCATGCTATATTTCCTTAAATTTCATATATTTCATGTTTACATTTCATATAAAACCTTGTATGTCATGTAAGCTGAAAATCCTACTTTATACAAACCTGCACATAGGATTAAAACATGAAGTTTATCGTTGGATTTTGATTAGCGCCAGTTACAATAGCAATCCATACCTTTAGATGGGTAAGGAGGAAATAGGTCTGATCTGACAGACTTTGAGGGATATCATGATAGACATTATTATTTACATGTGAAAGAAAATAAGAGAAAGAGCAAGAAATGTCTTTTATCTGCAGTTCTTCATTTAATTGGAAAACTTTTTACTGAAAAAAATAGAAGACCAACCTAAAATCTCTCTTGTACTAAAAATTTAAAATTCTATTCAGCAATTGTGAATAGTCCCAAATGTGAAACTATTACAAGTTACTGAGTCTTCCAAAAACAGAGGAGAAAAATGTCTCTCTCAGATGTGAATCAGAAGAAGATTACATCCACTTCAGATAAAACAGTAACCAACTCTTCCCAATTGAGCATGTGTTCTACATTATCAAAATGCTACGAAAACATTAATTATTGTTATTACTATAGAAGAATCTTAAGATCAATCTCTGTTAGTCAAAATAATAAAATTCAAAAAAAAATTATTTCACAGGTTTCCCACTTGAAAACTTTTATTCTAAAACACAACAGATGTTGCAAAACTTTCCTCTTTGAGGCAGGGGGTAGATTTTTTTCTAACTAGAAATAACAAAGTCAGCACTACAGAAGTCTTAACTTTTTACAATTCCCCTTCACTTTAAACGAAGCTGTTTTCAGAACATTATCAGCAGTAAAAACATGGTATTGGTATCAAAATACCAAATACAGTACTACAAAAAAAGATTCTCGGTAGCATCAGAATTCTCTGAAGGAAACAGATGAGAAAGGAGAGCAATTCTAAGTCTTCAGAGAGGGAAAATTCCAAGTAAGTAACATCCTTTCCTTAAGGAACACAACTGCCGTATCACTCCTGCTCTGAAAATCCTTGGAAAGTTTTTCAACTTAAAGTGCCACAAAAGACCAGTGGCCTTACAGGAAGCAAATATTCCTGAATGGCAAGATTCTGCTTCGGTTTTCTTGCGTACATTTGTTTACATGTTACAATTGTACCATAAGTAAAACTATCTGTACTATGGACATGCAATTAGACACATGCACACGTGTGACCCCTCCTTCCCCAATCTCTGAAACAAAAATAAATGACTGTATCCTGTTCAGTGAAAAATTTCTGTCAGGAGAAAATGCTAGAATTGTTTACCTGCTGTATATTTACTTCCTAGTTTAATTTACACCTAGTTTAGTTTACAACTTTATGAATCCAGCATGGTATCAGCTATGAGAATGTCACTGAGCATGGTGAAAGAAATGCAGATTTCTAGTTACCAGCCCCAGCAAAATGTTCTATCCTAGATTCCATGGAAACCTTGCAGATCACATTCTCTCAAGACAGACACGAACACATTCAGTGATTTGCACATACGCAGACGATATGATAAAGCTTTGTGATCATTCAGACAAGAAAAGAAATATGCATCATCCCAATAACTTCAAGGCAAAGAATGCAGTAAAGAGATCGATACGTAACAGATAGAGAGATCAAGAAACCATACGACATGCTTGAGTTATCTCTGCAGATTTTCAGAGTTTAAGAAACAGGTGACTCTCCACCACCTTGCTCCTCTTTGATACCATATCATTGAATGGGTAAGTAAGTGTGAGTGGAGTCAGCCACACCGAGTGTGTTCTGTGTTTTCTGACTGGAAGTAACAGAAGGCCATTACATTTTGATGTTTCCTATATATTAATAACACTTTAGAATAATGAAATAGGGCTGGTTTCCAAAGGATTCAGCAGTTTTCACAATATATTTTATTTCTCTTTGCCACACAAACAAAATGATAGCTGTTAAACTTGTGATAGGAAGAATAAAAAGGCTTTACTGTACTCTTCCACAGTCTGATCCTTGTGTTTGCTCCTTGTACTGACTGGAAAAATCAACATTAAAACAAACAAGTCAACTTGAAGAGTTTCTTGATCCTGAACAACTCAAGAAACACCTTCCTTTATATTAACTTCACACTCTGAAGTAGGAAGAAAGCAATTGTAGGAGTTTCTACTTATCTCACACCTTCACTGTTCACTCTGAAACACACTGCTTACAAACCTGAAGGGAATCTTTTGTTAAAATGGCAGAGGTATACATCTTTGCCGTTGCGTAAGACGGATCAGGGTTTCCACTTACTGCAGTTTTGGTCAAATTTATTTTCTGCTGACCATATGTTAAAATTACGTATGTTGACCTGCTCACTTCCACTGCTCAGCTATTTCTTAAACACCTAATAAGTACACATAAATGTTCTGTAACTGAAACAAAGTCCTCTTCTTGGCTTTACTAACTGATCAGAAAGAAGGATGGCATCTTGAAAATGGCAGTCTTGAAATTCCCACTTACCAGAAACCCCAGGCAGCTGAGGTCAGCTTCATATGCGCAGAACAATTCCTTCTTAGATCTTCTCAACTGCAAAGGGAAACATTTGCTATCTAGAAATATTTGCCTATCTTGAACTAATGAAACCTGGAGAGCAGATTTAGTGTGGAATTGCACATAACATTTTCAGTCAAAAGGAATCTACATAAACAAATTAATTTTTTTCTTCCCACACTTGGACAGCTGCATATCAGCTAATTACTGCCATTAAGCTTTTCCATCACTACTACTCCATTTTGTGCTAGTGGTTAAATATGCATCAGGGCACAGGCTAAGAGAGGCTAAGTAATGGTACTTGCTCCTATACTGAGCAAATGCAGGAAGCTAAACTTCAAGTCCATTCTGAGGATGTATTACTTTTACAAAACAAAACATCTTCAGCAGAAGAGCTGAAGAGACACAAAATCCACCAATTTACTAATGGACTATTCCATGCCTGCTGGAACAGTCAGCTCCTCAGTAACCATTCACCTTTTATTTCGCCTGTACCTTTGGAAAGGGCCACAAAGCCCACGCAAGCAGGCTGTAAATGCCCTCCTCTTCTGGAGCATAGAAGCACCTTAAAATCATTTTCACATCCTCAGTTCAGCATTACAATCATTAATTACAAACACTGATCAATGTTATACCTCAGTGTTAAGCAAATAAAAATGACTGCAGTATTGTTATATAGCTAACAAAGGTACTAACAGACTTGAGAAATACACTGTTCTGTCCTGTTACATAAGTGAACCAAGTTAAAGTTTTCCCTGTACTTGAACATCATGAACCCTACGCAAATCAATGACCTGCTAGTTGTTGCTTGCGCATGAATAACACTCTCAACATCAGCTGACTGACAGGCGTTGTCCATGTGTCAGAAGCATAGCTGTCAAGCTAGACCAAATCTGTAACAAATTTAAAGACATCGTTCTGTAAGCTACTGTTCAGTAACTACATGACTAAAATGTATTTTTCTCAAATACTTGTACACAAATTCTGTGCTCTGAGCTGTAAAAGGTCCTAAATTCACTCAGACTACTTTTTGAAGACAACTATTACCACGGCAAGTGTAAAAATCAACTTTATATGCAAATACATTAAACAAGGATGGATTAGAGTCTATTAAGAGACTAAAAAGCTTAAAATAACCTAATACAAAGGATAAAACACCTGAAAACCTAAACTCCACAAATTTATACACATGTAATTCCAAAATTTGGCTCTAACTTGCACAGTTCAATTAAAATATATACATAATTACTAGTTCCTAAGACCTCTAAGTGAGCACTAATACTGAAAAATAGTATCTATATTAAAATTGGCTTCTCTAGACAGTATTTTATTTTTTCCTTACTTAGACAGTTTTTCAATTCAACAGACTTTGCTGTTTATTTTAGCACAAAGACTTCCCCCTCCACCCACACCACCATCACATTCTCCTAGCTTCCATCTTTTCAATACGGAACTCCAAACCGTCGTATTTAGATCTCTAGCCAAAGGCCATAAGTTACAAAAGTGATTTCATGACATTATCACTAATAGGTATTTATCAAAGCTGAAAGACAATCATTTTTTGGTTTTAAATAATTCGCTTAAAGGTAGGAAAAGGGATGTATTAGAACAAACAAACAAAAAAAAAGGAAAAGCCACACAGACTGAAAATTTTTTCACTCTCTCTTTCCAGAGCCCAGCCTAAATGCAAATAAAATATTAAACCAACCTCAAATCTCAGTCATTGAGCCAATTTAAGAAACGGGTGGGGGAGGGGGGGAAGTCGTCAGAACACAAGTTTTGACAAAGCAGCAGGCATCCACTTCAGAAATGGTAAAATTAAATGTAAAGAAAGAAAATCAGCTTCATTCCTCAAAATAGCCTACTGCTATCAGACAGGTAGATCATAATGTATAATACATATCCATATCTTCTACACAGGAAAAGATGCAGAAAGATTTTCTAAACGAATGACTTTTTTCCCCTCTCTTGAATTTGCTGAAGACAATTCAAGGGGAAAAAAGGGTACGTGTGAAACATACTGATAGTGTTCTATCAGTAACTAAGATTTAACTAGTTTACTGTTTGGGGTGGGTTTTTTTTTTTCTTTTTTTAATGTTGCATGTAAAGTAGACACTCCAGTTATTTCAATCCAGACTGTTGCAGTGAGTGTTTTACTGGTCTAACCATAGCTTCACACCAATTTACTTTTATCCATCTTAAAATACGAGGATCAGAGGAGGATCCCTCTCTTGAATCACCCAGGCAGAGTTAATATACTTCTTCCAAAGTTTAACTTCATATAAATAGCATATTAACTATATGCAACTGTTTCTCCTGGGTAGGACACGGCTTAAAGGACAAAGCAGGAAAATGGAAAACGTGGATTTCAAATGAAAGACTACATTGTTGGGAATGTATTCCAAGAAGATTCAAGTTCCACTACACCTAACTGAATCTTGACCAGTGACTTGACTCAAGGTTTTTTTGTTTTTTTTCCCCTTTCCACATTCATCATCTTTATTAGGACTTGTTCCTGCTGTTCAAAGGTTTGGCCATATAAACCAGATGGATTCGTATGAGCAGAGAAAAAACACACTAACGCCTCCTTTTTACGAACATCAGTTACTTTGAAACAAGTACTGCATCATTTGCGCCTCATTCTTGTACCTATTATTCCAGTTAGCAACTGGTTATCTAATAGCTTACTTTTAAATAAAAAATGCTAGGATTTTTAACATTGCATGGGTAGAAAACCTAGTAAAGGAAAGCACTGCAAGGAAATTCCAGTGAAATGATCAAGAACATCATGAAGTAGCTCCCTAGCTAACGTTCCATGTCATATCTTCGTTTGCTGTCACAGTGTTGAAACTGAAGAGAATGAAGGATCAGTACCTGTTAGATGCAGGAGAAAAGGAAAATCTTACCGCTATTGCTAAATAAACTGTACCAGGAATACTGCGATTACAACAGTGATAACTTTCTGTAATACTTCTTTAACGTCAGATCAAGAGCGCTCCATAACACCAACGCCGTCGCTGTTTCCCAAGTATCTCAATAACCTTACATAAGAACATAAAGAGTGATTGTGCTGGGTCAGACAAATCCTGACAGGATCCTGTTTCTTACAGTGGGAAACAGAAGATACCTAAGAAGCATTAAGAACATTTAGCATACACAACACCCTACAGCAAGAATCATTTCCTTTTGCACGAGCATGCTGAATACTCATTTTATTTGACAGTGCATAGTTCTCGTAGTAAAAGAGATTGGGCAAGGCAGGCAGGGCAGCAACCTCCCCAAAGGGCGCAGTCACATAGCAGCCAAACAAGAAGAGCAGAGTAGGTCTGGTGATAGGAGCGAGGGTCAGCTACAGTTCAGTGATCACCAGAGCAGTCCGCAGCAACAATGCAGGTCCGAGGTCAAGCCAGGAAGTCAACTGAACAAAACAAGGTCAGCATCAACACAGCACAAGGCTGGGTCCAGGCCCATCTACAGTGCTCAGGCAAGGGTCAAGGGCAAGAATCTGAGCTGAAATGCAGTCCCCCAGCCAAGAGGTGGTGGCCAGAAGAGGCATCTTGCAGCTCCCTCTAACATAGCAGCACCTTCTCACAGCAGTCTGATCCCAGGTCACTAAGCTGCACCTCATCACAGCTGGCCTTGTATACAGGCAGGCAGATGGTTGGGTGGAGGCAGAAGAGGTTGCAGAGCCTGTTCTCACATTCAGGGCTCTGACACAAAAAATATTGGCTAGACCACTTTCCTGCATCAATGAGAAAACATCAGGAAACAGTACAATAAAGTGGCAGCCTATAATAAAATGGTAATAGTCCAAAGGAGTGAAAAGAACGTAACTAGCATACAGGATATTTATGCAGCACAGAAAGAATCATTAATCAGTTTTAAACACTGGAAATCACCTTTTCTTTTATTATTTAAAATAAAACTTGCATCTTCTGTAAGATTTAGGGTGGAAATTCTCATATAAGTGAGCCAAATATGCTTTTCAAATACAGCAAAAACAGAAAAAGAAATAAGATATAATATTAACTCACTCAATGAAAGGAGAGCAAATTCACAAAATGCTCCTGCAATGACATATTTTGCAGTTTGCCTGATGTCCACAAATCTGTGGACATAATTTCCTTATCGCTATGAAGTTTTAATACAAGAAATTCATTATATGCCACTTACTGACAGATGGCTGTTGTGTGAAATTTTTGTTCAGTTTTGAGAAAAATACAGTTATAGGAGGCTCTACTCTGAAGCAGTTGTGCTTCTCACCACAGTTAGGCAATACATGAATAATCAGATTAAACATTTAATTTTTTTACTCTAAATCTAAGTCTGCTACTCCAGCCAGTTCCACACAGGCCTAAGAATGCACGTGACATACCTACTTCATATTGCCTGATTTGATGACATGGTAAAAGTCTTGGAAGCAACCGCTCTATGCACATTCTAATACACAATAAAGATCCAAACTTATTTCAACTGTTATTAACAAGTGAACAAGTTAAAAAAAGGAGATTGCTCACGCCAAATGTATTTCAAGGGCTTGACTCATCTGGCTGATGTTCCGATGGCAGTTCTGGGTACAAATTATAGTCGTGCTATTTCTTCACATACACAGAATGAGGAGTAGTGAGTGGAGTAAATGTTATATTAGTTGTAAGCACTATTTCTAAATGGAAGGAGTTACCATCAAGAGCCACAAGTTCAAATGCTCCTGGCTTAATTAATAAGCAATCTTCTGTGAAGTAGAAACTTAGAGAGGACCTATCATCGTAAGGCTGCAGTTTGAACAAACATCTGCTATGAGAAACCACCAGAGACAGCACTAGTCTTTCCTTCAATGCCCTCCTCTCTCTCAGTCCTGCTTTTTGGTCAAGAGACACTGAATGCATTTGAAAGACTTCTGCCATTACTGTAACAAGGCAGAGTATCTGCTGCTACACCACAGAGATTCCTTTCCTGAAGTAAAATTTTGAAGATTTCTGCTTCAAATATAGCAAGATGACTAATTAGAAGAATTCTCAGTACAAATGCTAAACTGAAAATGTTTACATTATTCAAGAGCTAATGCTTCATTTCTGATATGGCGTAAAAAAAAATCCAAAAAATCCTCCAAAAATGAAAAGCAGTTATACAGATGTGAGATTGTGAGATGGCTTTTCTTAGCACTTATGACAGTTGCGATTCTTTAGCAACTAAGTTATACAACAAATATAAATTGAAATTTTGTTCCAGGCCCTGAACAGAATATCAAATATGATTGGATTAATGTATCTTTGATAAAGGTGAGTTTTTTTTTTTTTTAAACCAAGGGAACTATCAGAACATCCAAAGAAATCCATCTAACTACTCCTAAAATACACAAGCATGAAGTATGATGTCCACTACAAACATGTTAAAAAAATTTGAATGGTGAGTAGTCTTTGGCTCTAGCTGAGATAAAATCCTCTTCAAAAACATATGGGAAAGTACAGTTTGAAACTTTCAACACTTTTTTTCTTAAAGAATTTGATGAAAAAGGCTTCTGAACTCCTACGGCATGGCCCCAAGTCAGCCAACTTCAAGACAGAACTTCCTGAATTTTCTCCTTGTAGTAAGTACACAAAAAGTCCTGCATAACCAGAGCTTTTCTTTTCTTTTCTTTTTTTTTTTTTTGTGGAACATAAACTAAAGTAAGTCTACTTTGAAACACAGAAACTCAGATCCACCTCTCAGGAGGAGAGGCATTGAAAGCAAAGGGTTAGAAAACAGAACCATGCCCTGTGATTTTGACGGGGATGGGATCTTCCTTTCAGTCCTCCTTTCAGTTTGGCAACTTTCGTCCACTTCCTGAATTGAAACAAGGGTCACACAGCTCTCTCTCAAGTTACAGAAATTTTTTGCATCTT